AGAGTGATGTACTTTGAAGCCTCACTGATGACCACTTTTGCTTGCTGGCAGATTCAGTCTCAATGATTCTCTTGTCATCCTTTTTTATACAACCCCACAACTTCTCTCTCTCTCTCTCTCTCTCTCTCTCTCTCTCTCTCTCTCTCTCTCTCTCGGTAACTGAGCATCTTGCTGATAGAGTCTCCCTTTGAATCCATGGTGCAGTTTTCAGTAGAATTGAAAAGGAAATTCCATCCCATTATTTACAGGCAGAGTTAAACAAAGCTTGTCATGTAGATGAAAGTCAATGGCAAGCTGTGCAAGTAAAAGCACCAGGTTGGCTAAAGTTAGCAGTCCAGGTTCAAAACACAAAGGAGCAACAATAGTCACGCTTAGGACAGCTGTAAATTTCAAAGGTGTAGCTCCTACTGGTACATCTGGGTAGAGCGGAACAAGAGAGTAACAAGTGGGACTTTTAGGGGAAAGGAGAAATATGTCATACTGTAAGTACTTTAGTAAGTGCTGGGTACCTACAGTATTGGGTATTTAAGAAGAAAGAAGAAATGATTGATACTGTTAAGTGTTTTTGTAACGGGCAGTCCTGGTAAACACAGCTGAACAGTTGACAACAATGACATCCTGTGACACCTGTTAAGTAATTACAGTATAATGTATTTTCATAGCTGATGGGCGAGCCTGGTCTCACTCTTAAGTCGTCAAAATACGATGCTTGGGTAGTGACTTGTGGCGTCAGAAACCAACGAAAAAGGCGTCCTTTAACATCGGCATGATACACGGCTAGTTGCCGTTATAGTTTAACGGTGCCCTGTGGCGTCAAGGGGAAACATGGCAGGACAACGACGAAAATTAAGGCGGTGAGAGTCCGTGTGGGGCAAACACCTACTTTCACCTGAGAGAACATTGTTCGCATCCCATAACATTCTAAAGCCAAACCCTGTTCTTTTTCCTTAACCTAACCACATGTCTTTGTTGCCTAAACCCAACTATGTGTGTTTGTTGTTGATGGAAATTTCCTGTGAAAACGGAAGTGTATCTTGAAAGAAGACAATACATATAACAGGCAGAACTTGACACAGTGTTCCAGAACGTCAACAACCAAAGCACCTAGGGTACCTTGCACGTTGTATGTGGACGTGGAAAGTCCATGACCATGCACGTGACAAGGTCGGAGTGAGAATGTGTTGGATGAGTTAACAAAACGTAGAATTTTAATGGATGAAGTACAATAAAAACAAATGCCCTTGCCATTTGCAGTTGTGACAATAATTTCTTTTTTGATAGGATTATTTTTTGGGTCTTTTGCCTTCATTGATAGTACAGCTGAAGATGGACTGCAAAGGTAGAAGAGAGAGGGGGGATGACACAAAGTAAAGGGCCATGAGTTGGAATCGAATCTGAGCTGCTGTAAAGGACTCAGCCTATGTGGGGCGCACAATCTATCCGGTAAGCTACAGGTCACCCCTTGATAATAATTTTTTTAAAAGGGTGCCTGCTAAAGCTAAACCCACACTCCAGGAGATTATTATGTCAATGTCTTCTACTTCATTGTATGATTTGAAAGAAGAAAATGGAGGAATGGATCTAGACTTTTTCAGATATGCTCCTAGCAGGCGTGCTCATCCACAACTCTGTTGAAAACAAACTTACCTTTCTCAAGTGCACGGCTATGAAATGCTTGTATTGTCATTCAAGGAAAAAAAAACATAATACAGTAATGTGATGCTCTCCTTTTCTTACCCTTTAATTACACAGTTGAGAGTGATGTGGTGAACTGGATTAGAATGTATCCACTGTTCTACTGTTCTTATCCTTTAATTACACAGTGAAATTAGTGATGCAGGTTGGATTATGAAGTTTCCACTCCTGTCCTGTACTTACTGTTTAATTACAAAGTAACGAGCTGTGAGCTTTCCCTCCATTCTTACTCTATAATTACAAAGAAACAACACAGCATTTGGGCTGGAATTTAAAATGTTTATATTCAAGAGCAGGGGCTCTTGCAAAGGTTCGCCACTTGTTGCTGACCTCTGCAAGAGCCTGGCCAAGGCATGTGCAAGCATGTGCAAGGGGCAACTCTGGGGTTAAAAGGAAATGGCAGTTTAAAGGAAGTCGTGTGATGTCAGCAGTGAACGTTGGTCTTCTTTGTGTCATTTTTGCACAGACATCTCTATTATGAATGTGTGTACCCCACTTGTTGCAGATAATATGAGAAGGTGAGAGGACTTTAAAGTGGTGAGATACAGAGTCTATTATTTTAAAAAAAAGTTTGTCGGCCTTTCTGTGGTGTCTATCAAACTCATAAATAAATCCAGTGAGTGTAGGTATAGGCTAAGAGAAAATACATTTGAAAATTTCAAGTGGCTCTACCTATTTAACGTCAGCAGTTTTTGTCACATTGTTGCAGGGCAACCCAGTTTTAAAAAACATTTGTATGGTTGAATACAGAGTTTAAAATTGTTTAAAATGGATACCGTACTGTTGAGTAAAAACTGTTAAAATCACGTTAGCCTGCCACTGGGCAGCAAAGGTTAGCTGCTCGAATGATCAGTCTGGCTAACACCTTGGCCCTATTTCAGAGAGCAGGATTAGTGAAAACCCTGAGTATGTTAAGCCTGAGATGAGGGAAACTCACTTCATCTAAGCCTGAGACTGGTCGCCCACCGAGCGTGTAGCAGGAAGGAGAGACATGGTGTGCCCTTTTGTGCACAAATTATTAGGGGCTGTTGTGTTAGGAGAACGTGATTAGACCCCGTTTGGACGTTTTATCGTTCCCACAGGAGTGTCTATATGAAGTATACTGTTTCACCTCACACTCTATCATTTATCTAACAATCTTCTACACCCAAATATATCAAATATTACAAATCATGGATTTGCATTATCATCAGAGCAAATTTTATACATTGCCCTTTGATTCTTTGACAACAGCAATTTTCTTAATAACACTGGAGATATTGAACACATCGGTGAGGCAAGGTGAACCGGAGGTCATTTCACGGCAATTCAGCAAATCAGTAATTCAATTTATCTCAGTCTAATATTGCAAGAATGAAACAAGTATAAGCAAAATTTACTTACCAGTCTGTACAAAATTTTTGTGTTTTATTTTGAGTTGCTGCCAAATGTGTTTGGGCTCCATCAGATTACAGCTGAATAAGAGGATATGGCAAATTATATTAAAATATTTGAACATTGTTAATATATAAAAATGTTTCTATATTTTCTGTATATTAGACACACATTAATGCATCACATTACCTCGACATGTTCGAAGACCACATTGAAATTGAAGTCATTGAAATCTCTAATTCAGTTGGGGTGAAATAAATGGCTCAGCTTTTAACTCTGCTTTCTGCCAAACTTGTCATTTGCAAGCAATTGATGATGGCTTTTGCTGCTCACAGTGAATGTGCTTCCCTCAGGGTGAACATACTCAAGGTTAATTGAGTTAATTCTGATCAACTGTTCTGGAACTGAAAACTCAAGAGTTTCCCAGCTCAGGCTTAGTCAACTCGGCTATCAGGATTAGGCTCAGAGTTTGTTGAGCCTGCTCTCTGTAATAGGGTCCTGAAGCTTGCAGTGTAGCACACAGTTAACCTGACTATTACCACAACTAACCATCTGTAGTGTAGAGCCTGGCTTCACTGTCTGTGTAGTGTTGTTAGTAGAAACCTTTTTAAAGCAAGAAAGATACCTTACCCACACCCACCAATCATATCGCTGCACAGAGGGAAGAGTGTTTCTACTGCTAGGCAAAGGTGTACAGAGACAAAAACATCATTATTTGTATGTATTCAACCAACGAAATGATCCATCACTATATCTGCATTTGAATAGAAGGCCAAAGGTGGGCATTGTTTATACCTGAACTCATGTTAAATAATGATAAATATGTTAATGTTCGACTTCATGAATTAATCCAGAATTGTATTAAAGCCATAGTTGGTAATGTTGGAGAGCTAGCAAGATTTGAAAGCGGAACCTCCTCTAAGCTCCGCCCCCTGCTCCCCCTCCTGTCAGTGCTCTGTCCAAAGCCAGGAGCCCAGACATGCCTGAATGTGCATCCTGCAGTGAGCAGAGCAGAGGAGAGCCGAGTAAAATAACAAATTCCCCCAAAGCAAACAAATAATTACCTGTCCAACAGAAAGACAGCAACCTCTGCATCACTTTTCAGGCCCTTCAGCTCCCTCAGTTGTCTCCACCGTTCAAAAGCTGGACTGCTGTTGATGTCTGGTTTGTCCTCTCACTTTATCTTTTTCTGCCTCTGACTTTCTCTTCTCAGCCTGTTTAGCGGGGCGAGCCATTACAAGTAACACTGGAAGTGGTACTTTTGGCTGCATTTTCTCTGCCATTGTGCAGCAAACTCCTGCTAACTCTGAATTTCTACTGACGAGTGCTGAATATTTCCGGCAGCGGTGACATGTGATGAGTGCGCGCAGGGAGGAGGGAGGGAGGGACGTAGGGGGGCTCAGGCAATATGAGACATGAAGGCATCTGATTGGTTCTTTCCATTCGCACCGAATGGCAGGGATTGGTCAGAGTTTTTACAGGCCTGCAGCTGCCACAGACGTCTGATTTTTTTCATTCCTTTTTCTGAACACATCATGTATTGACTACTCTCAGGATGGAAGGACCATTTTACCCAGTATAAAAAAAAGTGTTTCTGAACAGGATTACCAACTATGGCTTTAATTTCAAAGTAAGTCAGTACCACTAAAGCCCCATTTTTTCTGGTGCCTGCAGGTGAGGTTTTGCATCTTTGTGCATGTCATACAAAGTGGACACCAAATCAAGTCATTTCAACATTTCTCTACAGCACCACCAGTGGTCAAAAACTCCACAGAATACCTTTAAAGTGGACTGTCGCTGCAGTGTCCCCATTCCATACAGCAGAGGGGTGGTGGTATCTTTTCAGGAGGGCTTTCCCACCTCCTTTGCTTGACCAGCTGTTTTTGACTCCTAGTTTTGACAATGTGATATTCAGTTTCAAAAAAGGAAACCAGTGTGGGAGTTTCTTTATTGTATGCAGTGTTTTTGTATTAGTGAGTCCTCACAAAGGTCAGGTGAAAGAACAGGTTGTAAAGAAAGTGACAGTGTCTGGTTTCAGTGATATGTGAACCTCCTTTGTGGTCTTAGGCCTGCTGTAAAACTAGAAACATCTTCTGTACATGTGTGCCTTAAATAACTGGGATTTAGGTCATGGACAAACAAAGATGAGGGGGAAATAGATGCATGTCCTCAGTCAGAATCACCGTTCTGGTTTGCAACCTCATCAATGCATAAAAAGCTAAAACATCCAATATACACTTTGTCAGTTGAAAGAGCTTAAGACATCATGATTAACTTTTATTCTTTGTTATATATACACCCATTTCCTGTCCTATTCTGCTAACATTGTAATTAACTTTAAACAATTATTCCAACAGAGAGAGAGAGAGAGAGAGAGAGAGAGAGAGAAACACCAAACATGATCAATATTAAAGGTTCTCTCATCAGATTGATTTAGAAAATGTCAGTCCAATTATGTAAAGTAACGATAACTGCCCAGGCATATTTGAATGTCAAAATGAATTGGTATAATGCAAAAAAAAACAAAAACGAATACATAACGAAAACAATTAATTGATCAATGGCTTAACCCTCAAAACTCATGTCAAACTTTGCTTGTAACATGTGACCTGAAAACACTCAATCAGCGTCACTAATTTGGTTTGGATTTTATAAAACTCAGTATAATGCAATATCAATTGCACTTTCTGCGTAGATTAGTACTCGTACATTTGTGTCTGCTAATAAAATGTCTCAAAATGCCCTAGATAATTTTGTTACCCTAACTACAAACTAGCTGTTTCCTTTTATGCTTTTCCAAGCCAAAGAGCAGCAGTGCATAACACTTAAGCTTTTCATCACATAATGCAGCATGTCTACTCCAATGAGTAAAGCATCTCTTTGTGCAAAGATTCTTACTCTTCATATTGCATTCCAAATTACCAAACTTCCAGTCCAACTACAACCACAGGACCACTAAACCACACATTTACATGCTACATGAGAAAAAACACATTAAGAGTATTTTTTAAATTGAGCTTAGTTTTACCCCACAGGGCTTGCGGCAAAGGTTGCTGCTGTACACCCGTTCATCCAACAGGTAAGCTTGTCCAGAGCGGTGCAGACAGGTGCCTGTTCTCCTTTAAAAGTGTGTGGTCCTTTTGTAGAGGACAACTGCTGCAGCTCCAATCATAATGACGGCCAGAGTGAGGATGCCCACAGCTATACCGAGACCCATTCTGGATTCCGAGTCACTGCTGGAATCAGCTGCTCACAACACAACCAATACAAACACGTTCATCACACCTTGACTTATATAGCATATAGCAGCATAGCAAATGTTGTCACTAAATGTTTCTGCAAACCACAGATACATTTGCACATCATTATAGAGCAAATATGTTGAACCTTTATTTTTCAACAACGCTATGGCTAAAGAGTGTTTAGGTTTAGGCACAAAAACCATTTGGTTACGGTTAGGAAAAGATCATGTTTTGGCTTAAAATACCCTATTTGTGGGCACAATCCTGGCAGGAAAGGCAGTTATGTCTTAGTAAAAAAAAGCACATTTCATGCCACTATCTTGCAACAAAAAACAGCAATGTCTCTGTAAAAACAATTGCTTTTAATGCATAAAAATCCTACTGACAAACAGCAATGAATCACTATGAAACACTCACATTTGGTGCCTAAAACGCTGCTAGGAGCAAAGCAATGACTCACTAAATCACAACCATTTTTTCTGTTGGTCTCAAATAGTGTTCTGCAGCTTGACCAGCATCTCACCTACGTGATGCACCTTTCGCCATCTCTTCCACCTCCCAATGACAAAGTCAGCTCATACACTATGTCACTCTAGAAAAGTCAAAAATGATACATATGAAATGTGTAAATGTAACGTATTTGTGGTTTGCAGAAACACATATTGCCAACATTTTCTTCTGGTGACTGGGCTGGATATGGCCTCGGGGCAATCATTAGACAGCCAATAGAGTCACTGATTAATACTGAATTTCACTGTTATAGAGTCAGATGGAATAAAAGAAACATTTATATGCCTTTTAGAATTGAAATGTTTCATTATTTGGTGAGCTATTAAGAAAAACATTAAATGGAATTCAACAGCATCCTACCTTGCTCTTTAGATGTCAGCGCTGAAAGAACAAGATGAAAGGAGAAAATCAGTTAATTTTTTAATGGTCATTTCTGAGCAAAAAAACAAACAAAAAAACATTGCCTCTTGTGTTTTATACATTTTTTATTTTCTTTTTTATTTTGCTAATGCCTCGTGATCAGCATTTAGTTACTCAACACCCATACTTACAATTCCCATTTCTGGTGACAATGGGAATGGCTGAGGATAGGGTGGTGGCCTCTGAAATACCAGTGGAAGAAACATCCCTTTTCCTCCTGTTGTTACATTGCTGCAGATGCACGAAGAAGGAATGTGACTAAGCACAGAACGATACTCGAAATGGGCTGAATGTCTTTTTTCATTACAGATCCTTCACTGACCTTAAAGTCATTGCAGGTGCTGATCTCACAAAGCCTGGTGATACAGTGCAGGTAGTAGGTGGACACTGTCTCGTTCTGCTGTTCGACAAACCTGAAGGCCGGGAAGGAGAAGCGGGCGTTGTGACTGTCCCCATTCTCTTTCATGGTGGTCATCTGATCCCTAGAGCACCTGTTTGATACCAAGAAAACAACAGTGTTGGCCTGATAAGGGCTTTGACAGCCTCTTCAGAATGAGATTTGAGGACTTACGAGACAAACAGGTTGAAGAAAGTGGAGTTGGTGGGATGAGGAGAGATGGAAGCATAGCATCTGTCCAGCAGCACGTGGTACCTGGTGGGGCAAAAACAGTGGGCTTCAGAGGTAGTGCTAAAATACTTTAGATATTTGATACCGTCCACTTAAAGTAATCTGTGTTCACTTGGTTTGTTTCTGGAGTGGGGACCTCTGTGGTCTGTCCCAGTGGTTGAGACCGTGGCTGTGAGCCTGCCCTTGCTGTTTGGGCTGGCACTGGCATCCCCCACACCAAACAACAACCTCCAAGCTAACAACCTACATGCTGAAAATGGCAAATTTTGACAAAGATTTGGACTCGTGCCTGCTTTGCTCTTTCGGCGAATTGTTGTAAAGATCTACAACGAATTAAGAAACTCTGTCTCGCAGGACTCACATGACTGACGATCCATTTTCAGTTTATTTGTCACATCTATTTTCCCTAGCAGTGGCATGTGTCAGTGACATTGACTTTACTATTGCACCTGTCTGTTCCACAATAGACGAGCTCCCATGATATCGTCATATTAATGTTCTGCAAGAGCCACATACAGCTAGCAAAGTGAGTTTGTCTCATTTATCAGTTAACGATGAATCACACAGTCAACATATGGCTGTTGTTTGTTTGTTTGTTTTAAGGGAGAACTAGCATTTTTAATGACAGTGTTCGCCTCCCCACAACCAAAACAAGTCACTGTTCTGCAACATCACCATTGTTGCATTCTGGTCTTAGCACCACCCAAGATAATTGTGATTACCAGAATGCTAACAACGTAGTGAAATTTGTGATGTCTTGTACTCATCACCAGAGCCAGCAGATGGATGTTCTTACTGATCAGTCAGGTTGGCTGCTTGGACTTGGACATAGACATCTGTTCTCAGCTCTAAGCCCAGTGATGGTATGACCAGAGGATTGGTGTATTGGTCATCCTGTCAACAGAAATTTTGAAATGTTAAAGTTGGATAGCTGTAAACACTGGTTATGATCCACATTATACACCGCTCAGCTGGGACGCTTATTTGTTGAAGTGTCTGACATGTCTGAGTTTTGCAAATATTAATAAAGTTTTTACAATAAAATAGTTGCATAAATGCCACTTAATTTAATGTCTGTGACAAAACACACTCAATCATGTGACAATGCAACAAGAAAAACAGCTTACTAAATGTTACAATAATACCAGTATTATTGTATGTAGTACAATAGTAATTTTCCCACCGACATTAGCACGTGTATGCAGGTTTTTGAATGCGGGAAAGCCAAATAATATTAAGAAACATAAAATATTCCAAATATGGTAATATTCTGAAATTGATATGGGTCGTGTAAACAGCATACATTATATGATATTCTGATTTGGGGCTTTTCCAAATTTAGCATTTTGCATATCCGACATGAGACATGTGGGATATGCTTGTATTATTCTATTTTTTTAACTGTTCTTTGGACATGTATACAGTGCATTTGGAACATCTGTTTCAACTGGATTTTTTACTGCAGTTTGTGACACAAGGCATCTCCTCTGTTTATGGTCAGCTCTGTACATTGTCATGGGTATGTTGTACACAAGCCAACTCTCAAACAGTTTGCAAGGCTGCAGGGTAGAGATAAATGCCCAAAAGAAAAGCCCACATTTCTGGTCGGAGGAGGAAACATACCTAATTTTAAACATTACAAAAGATTTAGATTTCAGCAGGCTTATCACAACACCAAACTTTTCCTAGAGGGAAATGAAGGAAGGAAGGAATGAAAGAGGGAGGCTGTGTTCACATGGTTCAACAAGTCGACCACCAGTAGGAAACTTGGAAATTAGGAAAAAGCTAAATTTTGATGCAAGTTCTGTATCTGTTACTTATTCAGTCTCTCTCAAACTCTGTGCAGACTAAATTTTGAGTGATGTTCAAGTGCTGCTTGGACAGAGACTGACTGTATTTTGCAGTGGCCTGTCATTCCATTGCACTGGCAATGAGGCTAAAATTAGCACATCCACCAGGGTGTTGTATTTCCATCACTGCTTATCAAAGCCAGTTGGAACTGGAGCCAATAAATACCCATGACTACTGCAGAGTCATTTGCCCCTGGAGTGAATGCCGATTGTAACCTTTCCCATTAAATAAAAATGCCAGATGTTGGGGGGTTATAGTTGTTATTTTCCAGTGGGAAAGGGGCTTACATTACTTGAGCTGGAACCAGCAACAACAAAGCACGAGCAATGTGAGCCTCATTATAAAACATCTCCATCTTAACTTACGCTGAAGAGTTCCATGCTTAAAGTGCTGATGAAGCTTCCATTGTTGTCCCTCACTGCAATGGAAGATGCTGACCTAAATGGGACAAGGGGTGGCATCAGAAACAGGGAGGAGTTGGCTGGATGATACATGTCTGACTGCATCCTATTTGTTACTATACACCAGGTGCTTATTTCCACCAGCAGAGGAGTATAATGACAGTGAGCAGGACAGATGTATAGCATCAAAGACAAGTACAGCATTTGGGGTCACATTTGTTCTCCTGACCACAGTGACAAAGAAGAGGATAGTTTTTGAGGAATTTGCAACTTTTTCCTACTTACCATGCCTAAAGCCAAACACCTCCGTACAGTTTGCCTTGCTAATGTTTTATGTTGAACTGCTGTTTCAGCAGCTCCCCTCCAAAGTAGAGAATTACATCGTCTACAAAGCTGAGTTTTTAATTCCTTGCATTTTAAAATGATTCAAATATAATAATTTTTTTTTTCTTAATAAACTTTCATAGAAAAAAGTATAAATCCTTACAAAAATGTAATTCATTTTGGTATAATTTACTTTCTATGCCTATAGTAACATAAGCCTTCCTGGGACAACCAGGGATGAAGCCAAACACAATTAATATCACAATTTAACATTCATAGACTGACTGTTCTCAAAGAAAAGAAAAGGCATCCAGAACTTCATTTGATTCATTTCAACCAGAAGAAATAGTACAATATTTTAAAATCTAAACTATCCCTTTATAAAGTACAACTGCCAGAGAATACTTACCATCAGAATGGTCACAGACACTGTCAATTTCCCCATAACAACATGTCCAGGTATGAACAGTAAATATCTAGAAAATAGTCATTGGAGAGATACAAGCAGAGATCTTACACGTCCACCTGGGTGTTGTTGATGAGATACTCCAGAGGGTAAGCACAGGAGTAATAATATTTGAGCTCAGCATTATAGGTGACTACCCCCGTGGTTGGATCATGGGAGCGCACCACGCCACTGATATTAACTGTCTGGATGTTGGAGAAGTCAGCAAAGATCCCTGTGCCAGCTGCACTGGTGGTCTGGAGGCAACATAGTCAAGCACAGAGAGAAAAAAGGATGCTTTAAGAAAATTATGGATTCTCCCCCATTTTAGTCCTCCTCCTCCAACCTCTACTAACCAGGAAAGTGCTGCCGCAGGCGTTGGTCATGTTGAGGGGGAAGGTGAACCTGACAACAGGTGGGCTGGCAGATTCATCCAAGGTTCCTTTACACTCCGGCTTCTCGAACATGTGGTTGAGGATGAGCAAAGACTCATTGTAGCCAGTGTAGACGACAGGGCAGATTTGGATAGCCAAGCTCATCGAGGAAGTGCCACATTCAACGGAGATGTCAGTGGGTTCTAAAAGAGAGGGAAAGGTGCATCAGCAAGCTTTGTCTGCAATTGCCACTTGGAATACGTTCATGTCTAAAACACCAAATCCTGGGAGCAAAATTCAAATTCTGGATTCAATATTCCTGCTTTGCTGTTCACAATTGTGTGGCAGAGTTGCGTTGTTTTAGAGCAATGGCTCTCAACCAGGGCTCCTTGAGGGAGTTCCAGGGTGTACCCAGAAAAATGAGAAATCATTTATTTTCACTGTATTATTGACTATAGAAGTGAGCCCAATGTGAGTAAGATTCATAACAGTGACTACTCTGATCACAGGTTTCCTTTTCTTTTTTTTTTTACATGGAAGTCCCTGAAGTGAAATTTTATCAAATATGGGTCCATGACCTTGTGCGTATCAATTTAGTAGTAACTGATACAAAAAAGGTTGAGAACCACTGCTGTAGAGGTCCTGTGGTCAAAATGAAATAATAAGCTTGACAGACACCATGGTTGAGAACATAAATGCCTTTTCGGAATAGACGAAAGATAAACACATCAGAAAAAGGTGAAGCAGGCATACTGTACCTGGACGTCGAAGGTCACTTAGACACGTTAACTGACTGCTTCTGGCCACCATGGAAGCCAAGAAAAGAAAGCTAAGAAGCTTCATTTTTGCCTGCCTTGGTATGGACAGATCTGTAATAGCAAAAGATATTGATGGATAAAGAATGTTGATTTTGATGTAGTTGTTGTTACCTTACTTGGCACCCACCTTAACTGTCCGACTGCTGTCGTCCTCTTTCTCTGCTTGTCTCCTTCTTTGAACAATGTATAGAATTATAGGAGATTCTTATATAGCTATGACACTTTCTCATGATTGGACAGAAACAAGGTCAATGTAGTTTGGTGTGTCCACCTTAACTTCGGTGTTTGGGAACAATTCTTTTGTATAGGGAGTTCCATGGACCATACCTTAAGGGTGATAAGTGAAACCCTACACAGCAAGTCTTTATGACACACCAGAAACAATAGCCTTGCCCCTTTTCTTTAAAATATAGAATCCCTTAGAATACTAACATGAGACTTGATGAAGTAAGTGTGATATCCCTGGGGACCATACACAATACTTTGATGCCCTTTTTAGGTTAAAGTCTATGGTTTAACAGTAACAACAAGTATCCTTTAGGAGACCCGAAGATGATCCTGTGGGATCGTTTTCATGTCCCAGAGGTCACGGTTGGTACTGCACTTTAGTGCTGTGTTTACATTGGTCAGAGGAGTCTTTATGGAAGTCTACACAGTGGGTCACTATCCAAGTGAGAATAACACAATACTGAATTAAACATATGAAACACAGACTGCAGCAGCTTGGGCCTTTCATTCTAATTTAATTTATTCTAAATTAGTTAGGAATAGTCAAGAGTGTGTATTTGGGTTTCTCTAATTATTTTAATGAAAACTGATGTTGGAATGACTGTTGCTGAATGTCACTATTGTTACACAACTGCTATAGCTTTTTGTTTCCTGTCAGTGACAGCAGCACACCTGAGAGGCCAAATGTGAAGGCTTGAGCTCTGTTTGTGTTGTCAGGCTAGAAGATGTCCTCCATTGTTTGCTTTTCCAACCAGGCACACTATGTAAGCAGGGCCTTTTAACAAGGGGCACTGCTCTGAATGGTGTGGTCCATGTACCTATGGAAACTAATGAATTCAGAAGCTGTTAATTCCTATGTCCTGACATAAAGCAGGGGTGATTTTCCAAATCGAAATCTCACATATTCCTCACATATAAATCAATCTCTCCCTCCAGTTTTGCCTTCTTATCATAGAAAGGACAATAATCTGTAGTGTGGGGGTGCGTCGGCTGTCACTTTACTTAGAAAAGCACAGGCTCAGTGACGCAAGTGTGCAGAAAGCTGAAATACGAGGCTTGTCTAGGTGCTTACAAAGCACACAAATCTGGCAGCAGATTCAGTCAGCTAAGCCAGACAGGAGGGACAATCATGCTGTATTTCTGGATCTTGCATTCAGCTCTGCATAATCTGTAGCTGGAGCATCTAAAATCCTTTTAGAGCATATTTCTAAGATCAGATGTGTTTTACAATAATAGACTTTACTGCAGCCTGCCAACATCTTTAAGACAGGATTTATGGCAGGATTCATAATTTCACCTGTGTGATAATGGGGGCTGCATGTCCACAATGTAACACATGGATAATGATTTATTGCATTTGCTGCATTAAGACAGCCCAGTGAATGCCTGTTATAGTCTTTTGGTCTGAGATGACTAGTTCTTGGATAAAACTGATAAAAAGTATGAAGGTGTGTGAATGTTATCATGAATATTGATAACTAGAAACCATTTTGTGATGGCATCACTCCAGCTGTGATACAGCAACAAGCAACCCACAACTGCCCCTTCCCTACTTCCTACCCCACTACCTCTGGCCCCTTTGCTCGGACCACACCCATCTTCGAACTTGGCCTTCATTTTGATCTCAACTACACACCTGTAAAGTTTGACTGTATCTTGCACAGTTGCAATGTTATAGTGTTGACCAAAATCTATCCACAGACAGACATATTAACCAACTCATTCTCACTCGAACCTTGTCACATTTCGTCATTTGGTCATGGACTTTCCACATCAACATATGACATGCAAGGTAGCCTGGGTGTGTCTGTTGTTGATGTTCTGGAACGTAGTGTCAACTTCAGCCTGTTAAATTGTCATTATGTCTTTTCAATATACACTTCCATTTTCCCAGGAAATGTTTGCATGCAGTCCCTTGAAAAAGAAATGTACTGTATTGGTACAACATTGCAAATTGATGTTTCTTTCCTTCAACAACACACGCATGTGGTTAGGTTTAGAAAAAATAGCAGGGTTTGGCTTTACAATCATATGGGAAATATGGGACCAGCCTCCCAGGTGAAAGTTGGTGATTGTAGGACCCATCCACCACCCCTCACACCTGCCCTACTTAATGTCCAGCTGTCTTTCCCCTGATGCTGTCAGGTGCCGGTATACACTGACAGCGCCTGGCCGTGTATGGTGCTGACATAAAAGGATATTCCAAATTTCTCTGTGTGTTGTGCCCTGAAATGAAAAACACAGACATCCCTGCGACCAAAAGAAATGTCATAAAGATGAACATTGTTGAGTCCTAAAATAACACACCATCAGAGATGATGTCAAATCTATAAGTTCCTTTCCTCTCAACCTACATCAGCTTCCATGAGTGGCCAGGTAAGCACCAGCCAACCAACAACATCACTGCAGTGTCAAGTAAACTAGGTAGGCAGGTAGGCAGGTAGGTAGATAGATAGATAGATAGATAGATAGATAGATACATTCCAACCTAGACTTCCAATGTTTGTCAGAGACTTGGCCTAGTTGGAAGCAGATCCAATGCTCTGTAGAGAATGACCAATAATTTATTTGCCTCCAATGTCACATCGTCACTGCAGATGTCTTTTATCTTCATTGGAGTGTACAGACCACCCTCTGCAAAATCTGTCTTCTTTGACAAAATATATACTATGCTTAAGGAACACAACAGGTAGGGAAGTAATTACTAATGGTGATTTTAATAACAACTTAGATAAACACAGACACAGAAACAAATCACAAACATATCTAATCTCACACAGTTAGTTAAGAGACCCAAAGGGACAACTTCCTAATCTAAATCTCAAATTGATCTGGTGTTAAGCAACAAACCTGAGAGAATAACTAAATCTTTTAACATGGTTATAGATCAGAGTAATCATAATATAATACACAAAGCCCTGTCCATTCAGATTCCCTAAGAGTGATGTATGTAACCTTGGAAATGCAATTAAATCCATCAACTGAAATAAACTATTGCCTGTTGCAAATGTGGATGATGACACGTGTTTCTAGCCACCATTCAAAACAAAACAATATACCTAAAGAAAAGCAAATTAAAGCTGACAGTAAATATCCTTCTCACAGAATAAACAGAGACTAATGAGATAGACCTGCAAACATTTCTTAAGACTGTGTTACTAACTGACACTTCTCTAAGATATAGGGTAACAAAGGACATCTGAGTAGCTAAAGCTAATGTCTTTGATTGTCTGATAGGTGAGGCTTATATCCAGTATTCGTAAAATAATATAAAAGGGACATATTAAACTCAAGTAAAAGGAACTTAATTCAATTCATAACTCATTCTATCAAAACCCTTAAGCCATGCCCCCACGTATTCTGCTTGTACATACACAGTGGTGTGCTGATTTGTGTTGCCACCATATTCCCAACAAATGTCAGACACATGAATGCTTCTGTTTAAATAAAGGACAATGTGAGAAGACACCCTGAGCGATCTGACCCCTAATTTTTCTTGGTGAACATAATGGCTGGGTGTAACTCTCTGATTGATGACATGACATTTGTGACCTTTCCAGCAGATTAACCAAAACAATACAGAGTGTCCTGCTTCACTGTGGCCCTGTCTACTCTGAGGACTGCTGCCACTGTGTGTTGTTTGGGTAATATTATTGCATGTTTTCTTCATCATTTTTTTTAACCTACATATGATAAAATATAAACTGTGAAATCTACAAATAACAAAACAACTGAATAATTATAACATTGTTGCCTCTTGTGTTTTAAATACCATGCCATCGACCAAAGAGAATGAACCTATTCAGTGATGTGTTGGTCGTGCTTGTCTGGGATAAATCTGTATACTGTCAACTCTCTATGGCACATAGTCATAGATCTCCACTGTAAAGGTAAAAGAAGTGAGATACTTTGATCTCTAACAGCTGTTCAGAAGGAAAATGAAAAGAGATATTGTTTTAGCTGAATTCCTTCATAATTTTTGAACAAAAATATAAATGCACTTTTTTTGCTCCCATTTTTCCTTTTATTGTAATGAAATAAAAGTTCTAAGACTTGTTCTAAACACACATCAGGCTGGTCTCTCTCAAATGTTGTGCATAAATTGTTAAAGTCTGTTTTAGTGAGCACCACTGCCAAGATAATCCAACCACCTGACCCCTGTGGCATATCAAGATTTTGATTAAACAGCATCATTATTACAAGAGTGTGCCTTGGGCCAGACCTGTTTGAATCATGCCTGGTTGAATCAGCAGGTGGTGGAGCAGTTTCTAGAATAGGATTGCTGTTGATGAGGAGTTAAGGAAAACTTCTGCATGTCTAGTGCACCACTCTTATCTTTGAGTGAGGGGGATCAACGATGATGAGATCTCCAGAAGGTGTTTTGAAAAAAGGTTACATTTGCCTGTACAATTTAAAACCATTGTGATGAGGTGAGCCTGTGGAAGACAGCTAGTGCCTGGGGGTGTTTGGAGTTGTTTTTGCATTTCATTGTAGACAGAGATATTTTGTAAATCAAAGGTTGTGTGGACAGATTTTTATTCTTTTTATTTTAACAGAGGGGGCAAATATCCGTTTTCAAAACTAACGTACATACATGCAGCAAGGGCCAAAAAGGCAACTCTAAAATTCTGAATTTTATTTTGAAAAAAGACATTTATTGGGATATCACATGACTAAAGCTACAGGAATGCATTTTCTGGTCACAGATACCTCAAAGAATCAGCCAGTATCTGGTGTGACACCATTTGCCTCATGCAGTGCGACATATCTCCTTTACACAGTTGATCAAGTTGTTGATTGTGGCCCATGGAATGTTGGCTTACTTCTCTTCAATGGCTGTGTGAAGTTGCTAGATATTGGCAGGAATTGGAACACACTGTCGTACGCACCGATCCAGAGCATCCCAAACGTCAGTGGGTGACATGGCTGGTGAGTATGCAGGCCG